AATCTTGTAGGAAATTGTTAAGATCCTGCGAAAATCTTGTAGGAAATTGTTAAGATCCTGCGAAAATCTTGTAGGAAATTGTTAAAATCCTGAGTGAATCTTGTAGGAAATTGTTAAGATCCTGAGTGAATCTTGTAGGAAATTGTTAAGATCCTGCGAAAATCTTGTAGGATATTGTTAAGATCCTGCGAAAATCTTGTAGGATATTGTTAAGATCCTGCGAAAATCTTGTAGGAAATTGTTAAGATCCTGAGTGAATCTTGTAGGAAATTGTTAAGATCCTGAGTGAATCTTGCAGGAAATTGTTAAGATCCTGCGAAAATCTTCAGTGTAGGAAATTGTTAAGATCCTGAGTAAATCTTGTAGGAAATTGTTAAGATCCTGCCAAAATCTTGTAGGAAATTGTTAAGATCCTGCGAAAATCTTGTAGGAAATTGTTAAGATCCTGAGTGAATCTTGTAGGAAATTGTTAAGATCCTGCGAAAATGTTCAGTGTAGGAAATTGTTAAGATCCTGATTAAATCTTGTAGGAAATTGTTAAGATCCTGCGAAAATCTTGTAGGAAATTGTTAAGATCCTGCGAAAATTTTGTAGGAAATTGTTAAGATCCTGAGTGAATCTTGTAGGAAATTGTTACGATCCTGAGTGAATCTTGTAGGAAATTGTTAAGATCCTGAGTGAATCTTGTAGGAAATTGTTAAGATCCTGAGTAAATCTTGTAGGAAATTGTTAAGATCCTGAGTGAATCTTGTAGGAAATTGTTAAGATCCTGAGTAAATCTTGTAGGAAATTGTTAAGATCCTGAGTGAATCTTGTAGGGAATTGTTAAGATCCTGAGTGAATCTTGTAGGAAATTGTTAAGATCCTGAGTGAATATTATAGGAAATTGTTAAGATCCTGAGTGAATCTTGTAGGAAAATGTTAAGATCCTGAGTGAATCTTGTAGTTAAATGTTAAGATCCTGAGTAAATATTATAGGAAAACTTTAAGATCCATACTATATCTTTAGGAAAATGTCAAAACTATATTATATCTTACAGGTAATTGTTAAAATCCATAGTATATCTTATAGGAAAATATTAAGATCCATATAGGATCTTATAGGAAATTGTTAAGATCCTAGGTAAATCTTATAGGAAAATGTTAAGATCCATATTGTAGAATTCTTGTAGAATTAATGTAGAGATCTCAGTTTCATGTAAACATGCTAGGACATCTATATATATTGCAAATACTTGTTATTAGTTGCTCAGATCAGTCTTTGAAAATATAGTTTATACGGGTAGTTTAAATTCTATGTAAATAACATTTACAATACATTCATACAGCATATATATAAGGAAAATCAGTGTATTTTTTGCTGGCAAAATTTGGCTATTTTAAGCAAGCATAATTCCTATTTGGAAAACATCAGGTTTTTCCAAGATTTTAGATTGGGTTTTGTTCCTAATTAAGATATTATTTTCTTGATTAGGATCCTAAGTGGGATCTTAGGATCTTAAATAGGATCTTAGGATCCTAAGTAGGATCTTGCTTGAAATTAAGATCCTAAACCATCCATTTTTCCTAATTAAGATCCTATAGGATCCTAATTAAGATCTTGTTCCTAAAGAGGATCCTATAAGATCTTATAAGATCCTATAAGATCCTAATTAAGATTTCTACCAGGGTTATAATCACTTGGATTACAAACCCTAACATTCTAATATTAATTCCACCAAGTGAAGTGCAAGAATCCAACATTGTTAATTAGTGTATGAATTATATTTTAGCCTGGCTCAGTCCAAACAGAAGCTCATCAACTTCTTGCAAGTTTCTGGACAAGAAAATCACAAGAAATAAGGACCATGGTATGTCTGAAGCGTGCTCAAATTTTGTCTATTTTAAAAAGAAGTGGAGAGTTCACTTGAAGTTCACTGTAGTTCACTTGAATCCCTATCGCTTTACACATTGGCAATAAAAAGTAGTTTAGTTCATTTGAAAGAACTCTTAAAACTATATATTAAACTCTATTACAGATTGTTTATATCTTGCTTAGTTTTCAAAATATTTCGACTGAAAAAAGTGAGCTGTTCGCCATCTTAGATTATTGAGGATATGCATGTTACGTCAAGAGAAGGGTCACGCTAATTTTTTATCTTGAGAGTAAGCGATCAATATGGGTCCAAAACTTCGTTTCTGGTTGCTGTCTGAAATTTAGAAACGATTAAAAACATTTCAAACAATTTTGGATTGTTATACTCGATCATTTTCGAGTAGTTTTATATGGTTAAACCAACTCCTGACGTCATCAAAACCATAGTTAATGAGGTCAAGAATTAGTCCAAGATGGCGGAAAGCTCATTAATTTTGCTCTAAATATTTCGAGAACTAAGCAAGATATGACAAATCTGTTACTAATTTTTTGTTGCCAATGTCCTTAAAAAACAATTTTTAAAAGAAACATATGGATATATAAAACCTAAACTAAAATTCCATAGACTGATGACGCTTTGACACACAGCGAAATATACTTCTAGCCTTTTTAAAATTTTAGAAGTTAGGTTTCATATATCCATGTGTTTTTATAATAATTGTTTCTTAAAGCATCTGTGGTGTGATTTTTTTCTGTGTTGGTGTAATGTATTCAGGTGAATAAGATGTTTGTGATGTTACTCTGAGTGTATATCCACACCGGGCAGGCTTGAAAAATATGCCTGGCCACGGTGGGAATCGAACCTACGACCTTTGGAATACTAGCCCAATGCTCTGCCAACTGAGCTACGCGGTCAGGTCGGTTCGAGTATGTGATATTTCAGAACTGAGTCTAGTTCCTTCGATATCAGTGTAATCTAATAATCATGATATTTGCTGCACGTTGGTGTAATGACAGGTAAATAAGATGTTTGTGACGTTACTCTTAGTGTATATCCACACCGGGCAGGCTTGAAAAATATGCCTGACCACGGTGGGAATCGAACCTACGACCTTTGGAATACCAGCCCAATGCTCTGCCAACTGAGCTACGCGATCAGGTCGGTTCGAGTATGTGATATTTCAGAACTGAGTCTAGTTTCTTCGATAATCCCACAGTGGCCAGGCATATTTTTCAAGCTTGCCCAGTGTGGATATACACTCAGAGCAACATCACAAACATCTGTGGTGTGTTGAGAGAGAGAGAGATATGGACATTATGTCTTCAGAGGATTTTTTTCAAGAATCCCCTTGCGTCGGCTGTTTTCTTATTTTATGTGTTGTTGCATTGACTAGACTGATTTCAAGACACAGGAATTGCCACTGGCAAGGATTAAGAAAATCATGAAACAGGACGAAGAAGTCAAGGTATTCGTTTCCGTTCCAATGAATTTCAATATTTCATGCGCTCACCCATTGGACCAATCCCCAATTAACCAAAATTTTGATCTTAACTAGTCTAAACAAAATTCCATCACAGCATGAAAGAGCATCACAAAATTAGTAATATTCCAAAGTTTCGTTGCGAAATGTTGTAAAATGCGGATAATATAGCCTTGCGAAATTTGCAATTTTCACTCATTTTGTATTACGAGCGGAAAACGGTTACCACTTTTCCAAAATTTTGATCTCAACTAGCCTAAACAAAAAGTTCATCACAGCTTGAAAGAGCATCACAAATTTAGTAATATTCCAAAGTTTCGTTGCGAAATGTTGTAAAATGCGGATAATATAGCCTTGCGGAGTTTGTAATTTTCAGTCATTTTGTCTATACGCACAGAAGTGGTAACCATTTGCCGTTTGTAATCTAAAATGACTGAAAATTGCAAACTTCGCAAGGCTATATTATCCGCATTTTACAACATTTTGCAACGAAACTTGGGAATATTACTAATTCTGTGATGCTCTTTCAAGCTGTGATGAAATTATTTGTCTATAGACTTGTTGAGTTCAAAATTTTGGTTAACTGGGGATTGGTCCATTGTGATCTAACATTCCGAAGTTCTTGGCTTGTCAGGCTTGAGAAAATGCGTGTTTTCCATCAGGGAGCCTTACTGCCCACTCTCCTCTGCAGTCTGCAACGCTACTATCCCAACATTACCATTATTTGAGATGGCCGAATCTGCATGTTCGCCGTTCTGTTACGTTTTACATTATCTTTTGTTTATAAAGTTTCTATCGGCTTTTTATCACGTATGCGTGACTGGACAGTTGCTGTAGCACAGTACAGTAAATTTGCTTGTTAAAGTACAGTATATTTGAAAATATGACTGTATAACAACCTCGACATGTTTACATATTTAACCATGATATTTAACTGAAGTATTTTCTCGTGAGCTCACAAATCAATTAAATCGTTTCAAGAAATCGACACGCGCTAACAGTAGAAGTTCCGCTATTCGAAAAGCAAAAAATGTATGGTCAAGTAGATTTTTTTAGATCGGTGCTGGACTTCTCTGGGGGGCACCCCTATGGTAGACCCGTCCCGGCTGAGCGTTGCTAATGTACTATTATACTGTATTTCAGATGATCAGCGCAGAAGCACCGGTGTTATTTGCAAAAGCTGCCGAGATCTTTATCAACGAACTATCGCTACGTGCTTGGGTACATACCGAGGACAATAAGCGCAGAACGCTTCAGAGGAATGACATAGCAATGGCAATAACGAAATATGACATGTTTGATTTCTTGATCGATATTGTACCTCGTGATGACTTAAAACCGAACAAACGACAGGTGAGATGCAACGAGAACAAGAGTTGCGTGAGAGTTGAGAAGCGAGAGTTTACATGAGAGTTTTCTCAACTTCCATTGCTTGATCAAACGAGAACAAGAGTTGCATGAGAGTTGAGAAGCGAGAGTTTACATGAGAGTTTTCTCAACTTTCATTGCTTGATCAAACGAGAACAAGAGTTGCATGAGAGTTGACAAGCGAGAGTTTACATCGGAGTTTTCTCAACTTTCATTGCTTGATCAAACGAGAACAAGAGTTGCATGAGAGTTGAGAAGCGAGAGTTTACATGAGAGTTTCCTCAACTTTCATTGCTTGATCAAACGAGAACAAGAGTTGTATCAGAGATGAGAGTCGATTGTCGTGGATATTATCAATATTTATATCTCCATTTTTAGGAAGCGATGAGACATACGATCATGGCGCCGCAGGACCAAGTGCAATATTACTTTCAGCTTGCTCATCAATATCAACCGGTAATTCGCTGGTTTTTTACTGTAAACATTAGTGAATTATAGTTTAACCCTTAAAGTGGCAGAAACGTCAAAACGGCGCAGAAAACGTCACTTTTGTCCTAACGAAATGACCGCTTAAAGTGCACATAACCTCAATTCTTCTAGCATGTTATTCCTATAAGAACCTTTGAAATGATATTGTAACTTATTTCGAAGATTTCCGTTCTTACACTTTGTCTCTGAGTTATTTCAGTTTTATTGATATGCAAATGTCCGGAAATTACGTCACATATGAATAATGACTGATCAAAGAATGTAAGGTACAGTTAAATATCGTGAAATAAAAAGGCTAAATGGTGTTTTACATAGGTATGTAATTCTCCCACAACTCCAAACTTCATTTTAATGAATTAAACTCGATAGTGAATACGATATACAAGCTTTTACTTTAAATCATTATGCATTTGTGACGTAAATTCCGGATATTTGCATACCAAACAAACTGAAATATCTCAGAAACAAAGTGAGCAAACGAAAATCTTCAAAATAAGTTATTATATCATTTCGCAATGTCTTAAAGTGCATATGACATGAAATTTCTTATTTTCTTAAACGAAAGAACTCTTTAAGTTGTAGTGTAACTTTTTCAGTTTCCTGTTTTCCCGAGATATTTCAATTTGTTTGATATGTAAATGAGTGTGAATATGTCCGCTAATTTATGACGTCATGTTGGTTGCAAGCTCTTCAAAATGGTTGAATATCAATGCTATCATCCAAGATGATAATTTCAAACTTCACTCACTGGTAAATATGATGAAACACTGGAGAAAAACGTGAACTGATATCTACAGTTTTTAGAGTAAATACATTTATAACCAGTGTAAGTTGAGCTTGCAGCCAACGTGACGTCATAAATTAGCGGACATATTCACACTCATTTACATATCAAACAAATTGAAATATCTCGGGAACAAACCATAAAAACAAGAAACTGAAAAATAAGTTACACTACAACTTAACGAGTTCTTTCATTTAAGAAAATAAGAAATTTCATGTCATATGCACTTTAAGAATGAAATTATAAAAAGAATTGAGGTTAAGCGCACTTTAATACAGCTTGGATGTCGCCGAACTAAAAACGTATATGAATTTTTCACTTATTTTAATAGCAACAGCCACATGCGGTACAAACCGCGCCAACCCAAGCACAGCCGATTCAAGTTGGCACTCAACAACAAACTGCCATTATCGGAGCCATTGCGCAGCCGCAGCAAGGCGCTGTCGTCGTTACCATGGCATCGGTAAGTTGCAGTGACGTCATTTCCGTCATTCATAATAAATCATTGACGCGCGTAAAAATCTCACAACTTGTCAACAAGATGTGTTCGCATTGCTTGTTCCCAGGGTCTTAGCTAGAGGGCCGTGTTGGCCGTGTTATCGCGGCCAAAAATGGAAAAACACGGCTAGATAAAATGAATGCGGCTTCATTATTTATATAAAGCCGTGTAGGTTCATAAAATAAGGTGTTACTGCTTACAACAGACATAATTTCTTCCTATATTTACGTCGTAAGAAAGTTTGTAAAATCTACTGTAGTTGTTGAAATTGGCAAAACTGATCCGTAGTGGTTTGATGGATATGATGTTACTGTAAAATGGTTTTAAATACCCCCAAGAAAATGCTGAAATAACTTAATATTTTAATGTCGGTGCGCAATGAGCGTATATGCTCGCCTTGTATTTGGTTCCAAAGCATAGAACAACCACAGGCATTGTCTGTTGTTGGCTAGCCATAACTAGAACCGTGAATTTGGCTATTCAAGGTAATTGACATGTGCACACCTTGGTCATTTAGAAACACGCCCAAGATCTAAAATCCTAGCTAAGACCCTGCTTGTTCCTAGTTGCTGACAAGTCCGGAACAAGTTGTTATCATCTTGTAACAAGGTTGACGAGGCCAACAGACTCGCAACAAGTTGTTCCAACAAGTCTGATATCGTCTGCACGTAACAAGTTGATGACAATAAGCTCGTGGCAACTTGTTACGAACAGCCTGTATTAGTCTTGTTGGAACAACTTGTAGCAAGTCTGTTACCGTCATCAAGCTTGTAACAAGGTGATAACAACTTGTTTCAGACTTGTCACAACAACTGGGAACAAGCAGTGCGAACACATCCTGATATCGGCTTCACAACAACCTTGTTACAACTTGTTTGCAGATATTAATATGTTAAATGACTTAAATCCACGTTGTTTTAATTATACCGTAATTAAAGATATGTAAGTAAATCTAGAAATGTTTTATGTTTTAGGGTCAGCCACAGTTAATTCAAACGCAGCCTCACGATCAAAATGAAGTTACGTATCAAGTAAGTCTTTTTTTGACTCTTATTGAACCTCTAGGGAGAACAGTTTAGAACTGATAGAGCTATTCAGCGTAAATAAAGTTAGTTTAGTTTAGGTTTCCTCCTGTAGCAACACTGGATCAATAAGAGATGATCCTTACTGGACCTCTAGGGAGAACAGTTTTGAATTGATAGAGCTATTCAGTATAAATAAAGTTAGTTTAGTTTAGGTTTCCTCCTGTAGTAACACTGGATCAATAAGAGATGATCCTTACTGGACCTCTAGGAACAGTTTAGAATTGATAGAGCTATTCAGTATAAATAAAGTTCGTTTAATTTAGGTTTCCTCCTGTGGTAATACTGGATCAATAAGAGATGATCCTTACTGGACCTCTAGGAAGAACAGTTAAGAACTGATAGAGCTACCCAGAATAAATAAAGTTAGTTTAGTTTAGGTTTCCTTCTGTAGTAACATTGGATCAATAAGAGATGATCCTTACTGGACCTCTAGGAAGAACAGTTAAGAACTGATAGAGCTACCCAGAATAAATAAAGTTAGTTTAATTTAGGTTTCCTCCTGTAGTAACACTGGATCAATAAGAGATGATCCTTACTAGGAAGAACAGTTAAGAACTGATAGAGCTACCCAGAATAAATAAATAAAGTTAGTTTAGTTTAGGTTTCCTCCTGTAGTAACACTGGATCAATAAGAGATGATCCTTACTAGGAAGAACAGTAAGGCGTAGCGACACCTCATCAACTCTCATCAAAATTTGAACCCGGATTTAATGATTACATACATTCTCTTTTCTGTCAGATTCCGTTTACAAATATGCCGTACATCAATCGCATCCAACAGATGGCGTCAGTACAACAGCTTCAACAACAGCAACAACAAACTCAGCAACAAGGTCAACAACCCACGCAAGCGGTAACAGTTCAAGTTCAAGGTTCCGTTTCATCACAACCACAGGTAACCTTCATTTGTTTTTTTAATACAATTTCTTTAAGCGAGTGAAAAATGTGGGCAAGGGTGACAGATGAGGTTAGGGAGCGGTCATTATTTATGGGAGGGGTGGCTATAAAGGGTACCGGATTTCGGCATACCTCTTGGTGTCAAGTAACGAAGTAAATGTACTTCGTTACTGTACTTGAGTACAATTTTTGAGAAATCAGGATGTAACAAAGTAAACTTTTTCTGGAGTACATTTACTTGGAACGAAGTCATTTTAAGAAGTAACGTTTTACTTCGTTATTTTCATTTTGTGGCGAAGTATTTCGTTACTTTCTAACTTTTGTTTAATTTTAAGTGATTTATTTCTGATTTATTTTAATTTTGGGATTGGTAGAACGACCTCTACATGCGTCTGGGATCTCTCCTTTGTGGCTTACTTATAAGCATTATTTATTTAATGGATTTCTCATATCTTCGACGGAGTCTGGAAAGTAGACCATGCCGTGAAATATTGTATATTAGGTGCACGTTTATAATGCGTGTGCTGTTTTGTGTCTCTTGTATGTCAATCCATTGGAGGAGTCCCCCCTCCCTCTACACGCTACAGACAATTGTACTTTTAGTTTTACTTTGTTCTTCAAGTATTTTTTAAGGATACTTTGTCAGTACTTTTTACTCGAACTCAAGTCGCAGCCTAGTCCCTAGGCCTCTTAGTACGCCTATTGCGCGTTTCTGCATATAAAAGTCGTTTTGTTTTATTGTTAATTACTTTTACTTTTACTCGAGTACAAATTTACTCTAGTACAAATTATAGCCACGGTGGTATTAATGCCATGTCAAATGGTGCAAGTTCTTTACTGACTTTGAGTCCAGTATTCAGTTCTAGTTTGTCAAATACAAGATCGGTCATGTGGGCAGAAAGTGTCTTGTCAGTCGGTCGAGTTTTATTTTTAATGAATGGGTTGTACTTCTTGACATTGTAAAAAGTGTTGAGGCACTGCAACTGCACTTTGGAGTTCCTTTCCTACGTAATATAATATGTTGTTGTTTTTATAGATCGCCCAGGCACAACAGCAGACAAATGCGCAAGCACAGCAAGTTCAAGGTGGTCAGGTGCAAGTTGGGACGCAGGAAGCCCAGCCACAAGCCAACCCACAGAGCGTAGGACAGACTACAGCAGCGACACAGCAGCATACGCAGTATGCCCAATTTGGAGGACAGGTGAGATTTTGTTCATGTTTCATGTTGATAATACAACTTGGTGAACTCGTGTGAGTAGAGTCTCTCTGAGTTAAGGATGGTTAGATCATGCAGAGGTAGTACATGTTCTTGAATGTGGGTTACTTTAAAGTGATCTGATGTTGTACAGAACTCATGTGAGTATAGAGTTAAGTCTTTCTGAGTTAAGCATGGTTAGATCATACAGAGGTAGTACATGTTCTTGAATGTGGGCTACCTTAAAGTGATCTGATGTTGTGCAGAACTCATGTGAGTAGAGTCTCTCTGAGTTAAGCATGGTTAGATCATACAGAGGTAGTACATGTTCTTGAATGTGGGTTGCCATGTTGTACAGAACTCATGTGAATAGAGTTAAGTCTCTCTGAGTTAAGCATGGTTAGATCATGCAGAGGTAGTACATGTTCTTGAATGTGAGCTACCTTAAAGTGATCTGATGTTGTACAGAACTCGTGCAAGTAGAGTTAAGTCTCTCTGAGTTAAGCATGGTTAGATCATGCAGAGGTAGTACATGTTCTTGAATGTGAGCTTTTTTAAAGTGATCTGATGTTGTACAGAACTCATGCAAGTAGAGTTAAGTCTCTCTGAGTTAAGCATGGTTAGATCATGCAGAGGTAGTGCATGTTCTTGAATGTGAGCTACCTTAAAGTGATCTGATGTTGCACAGAACTCATGTGATTAGAGTTAAGACTGTTAAGTATCTCTGAATTAAGCATGGTTAGATCATAGAGGTAGTACATGTTCTTGAATGCAGACTTTGTACAGAAGTCATGTAAGTAGAGTAAAGTCTCTCTGAGTTAAGCATGGTTAGATCATGCAGAGGTAGTACATGTTCTTGAATGTGAGCTACCTTAAAGTGATCTGATGTTGCACAGAACTCATGTGATTAGAGTTAAGACTGTTAAGTATCTCTGAATTAAGCATGGTTAGATCATAGAGGTAGTACATGTTCTTGAATGCAGACTTTGTACAGAAGTCATGTAAGTAGAGTAAAGTCTCTCTGAGTTAAGCATGGTTAGATCATGCAGAGGTAGTACATGTTCTTGAATGTGAGCTACCTTAAAGTGATCTGATGTTGCACAGAACTCATGTGATTAGAGTTAAGACTGTTAAGTATCTCTGAATTAAGCATGGTTAGATCATAGAGGTAGTACATGTTCTTGAATGCAGACTTTGTACAGAAGTCATGTAAGTAGAGTAAAGTCTCTCTGAGTTAAGCATGGTTAGATCATGCAGAGGTAGTACATGTTCTTGAATGTGAGCTACCTTAAAGTGATCTGATGTTGCACAGAACTCATGTGATTAGAGTTAAGACTGTTAAGTATCTCTGAATTAAGCATGGTTAGATCATAGAGGTAGTACATGTTCTTGAATGCAGACTTTGTACAGAAGTCATGTAAGTAGAGTAAAGTCTCTCTGAGTTAAGCATGGTTAGATCATGCAGAGGTAGTACATGTTCTTGAATGTGAGCTACCTTAAAGTGATCTGATGTTGCACAGAACTCATGTGATTAGAGTTAAGACTGTTAAGTATCTCTGAATTAAGCATGG